AGGAATTCTGCTGGACGAAAAGGCCTAAGTTTTCAACAAGTTGTTAACTCTTGTTCCTAGCGTTTGTTCCTGCACAATCGAGGGGTTTACGTCCTTGCTAGATGTCGTCAATACGTCTCATACAGAGAATTCTGAGCCTCATTGAGGTTTTTTGTGGCAATCCCTTTGTTTTCGAGCTATCGGCAATCGTTTGCCTGATCCCCCAAGGCCCATGTCGTTTCCCTCCTCTTCCTCTTAAGACCCCTTTAGTTCATCGAAAGTGCGAACTCACCGGTTTCGAGTTACAGTTGTGATGAATACGGACAAAGGGCTCGATACTGCCAACCTGGAAAACAAGTGGGTTCATCGACAACAAAAACATGTCATTATAAGCTTAGGTTAGAACAAGGCATCTTACCATCCACTATAGTAAGAAGAGCATATATAACTGAAAAACCTTGAAAAAATAGAAAAAACAACGATCACCTCGTTCTCTTCTCCGTACAGTTCGAATTCTCCTTCCTTATTTGTATGCACTTCAGCGAGAAGGTCATTGGGATCCACTGAAATGGAAAGATTACGGTATGGCACTGGTCGCTTCACGAGGAGTATATGGGAGTTACATCATTTCAGCCTCGAAAAATGAGTCAACTTTCATTTTGTAGTTGTTTATTCATTTGTTTATTTATTGATTTATTAATTTAGCTATTTATTCACACATTAGCTCTCGTTTTGATCCATTTCATAGCATTTATGCTGACTTACTTTATTTTATTATCTAGTGACTTATTTTCAAGGGACGTAACGGAGGCCGGACCCCTTCTTCAGATGACCTTTTCGAAATGGACCATATCCGTGTATGACTAAGAGGCGGAACTCATTGCTCTGGGGACGGAGGGAGGACATCCGAGTTAGCGAGCTTATTAGAATTCCTTCTGAGCTTTAGGGGGAAGGGTAAGATTCTGGGCAAGGATACGAGCAGTTTGTAGTCTCCATGGCGCTTCTTCTCCTCTCCTAGGCTCAGTTCCCTGTCACTTACTCCAATAGCTAGTCCTAATCTAAATGTCGCGGTCATTCCCCCTTCGTACCGCCCACCTCCCTAACCCCCATGGGCAATGGCAGCGCGCTAAATATTTTTTGGTAACAATATAATTTGAAATTTCATATACTGCCGATAATCATAAATATTTAGCGCGTTGTCAGTGTCTAGAATCTCACTTAGACAGGTTTTTGGGTTCTATTTTTTCCATCTCTGAGCAGTATGGGTAGCAATTTGGAAAGTAATCGGGGCCAATGCTGGTCTGTAGCCCTTTTGGTGCAACGACTGATCTTTCAGATGACTTACAGGTATCGCGGTCATAGAGCTGGACACGCTGATTTGCCATCCGCCTCTTCTGACATACAGCTATTCCTTTCACGGTGACATTCTGGAGAGCGCCTGACACAGACAGGGCACAGAAGGTGACGAGAGCACAAACGACAAGGCACTTCATCTGCAACAAGTACTGCTTGTTATCATTTATTTCTTATCTGCTATTAATAATTATCAATTAAATTAAGGACTGGAAGAGTGGGAAGAAAGACTAAAGCTGTGAAAGGACAAAATAATCGAACAAAAGGTAATTGTGGCCGAAAATGTGCACCTGAAGGGCGACAGAATCCACTGAGCTAAGCTATGTTACTGCAAATACAGTACTAGAAGTGCGATCGACAATAAACGTGACATCTTTGCTGAATAGGTCAAAGCTGTCAGAAAAGACAGTGTCGGAAGGAGAGATGAAATAAATCAGCGCTGCAAGTTTGACCTTAACTGACGTCTTATCAGCGCTATTTATCAGTGACAACTTCAACTGTGAGCTGGCAAGTGTTCCGAAACAGGGCCTGAGGGAAATTCAACTTAAGCTTAGCGTTTTGAAAAATTCTGCGGACAACAGAAAAGCTTTGAAGCATAGACAGAAACAATCTTGCACCCAAGCTCATCCCTAGTTCCTCAAGGGTAGAGAAACTCATTGCCGGAAACCCTGATTTGTGCCGACCATCTTAATCAGGGTACTGTCATTGGCTATTGGATGCATGATTCAATAGAAGAAAATATGAGGGACCTGTGCACAACTATAGCAGGGAGTCATAGCCTAGAATATGGAAGCTCTCCTTCAGTAACCCTGAGTAGGGGGTTCAACGTACGGGAGGAAACGGCTCAAAGCCAGCACTGAGTGGAAGGAGAACTGGACTAGGGTCCAAGACGGTCACACGGTGTCGCTCCGAGCGGAATGTAACTGGTAATGGTTCCCATCAAAATGTTATTCGTTCCCGTATTAAATGTATGGGCTATTTCGTCACGAATGCGACGGGAGTGATACTCTAGTGGAAATGATTCAACGTGAAGTCATCAAAAGCTGGCAACGCATTGAAACCAGTAACGACGTCTTTAACCACATAGGGTGAGGGCTAACTCAAAGGGTTTGGGGAAGGTCAGAAATGTTTTTCAAAGAAGTGAAGATTTTAAGGGAACAAAAGGATCTTGACCGCTCTGGTGCATGAAACTACGGCCCACGTTTCGAAAGTTCGTCTTTTATGCTCACTTAGCGCCTCACACTGTAGGCGTGTCGATCCAGACGATTAATGTTCTGTGTCATTGTGATGAATTGTAACAATTGCACACGATTCTCGTGATGTGGGGGTGGACGTTCGTAGCCAATCGCTGGATGGAGTGGCGATCAAAGAGCGTATCCAGGCCGAGAAAATAGAAAGCATGTGAGCAATGACCGATTAGAAAACGCAAAGACGAATGGCAGGGCAAAGCCCACGACTCGGCTACGTAGTCTTTTGACCGTTGAGTCATCAGGCACGGAGATGCCATATGTTATGTTCCTGATAAAAATGCTGCTCTTCCTCACCTACTCGAAATTATTTGAGCAGTAGAACGATCAAAGGCAGACCCCATGATCAAACTGTATACTTGCCATGATATTTCGTGCAGAGTCCGTGAGTGCCTCTGCCTGGTGACTTTGTGGGGTCTCAGGACATCTGTCAACCGTGAGCCTTGGCGGTTCAGCGTTTTGTAGTGATGTCTGGGAGCTCTCACAAGTGCACACTATCACAGCATCTCCTCTTTCTTTATCTTCTTCAAAAGGCTTAGTCCCAATAAGACACAAAGTGTGTGCTTTTCCAGCTACGCTCTCACCCTTTGGTTGACAGAAGCCTTGTAACCGCTTTGTCGAGCGGAGTTGGTACATCCTGTGTGCTTGCGGAGCGCACTACCTTCAGGCTGAAGCTTCACTCCATTGACTCAAAGGCACGCCACAGGATCAAACTGTGGTCCTCGTGCACGAAAGTCGAAGCACTGGTGCGGAGTGGGGCGATACTGCAGACGAAAAAATAAAAGAATCCCTTGACACTCTAAAATTAGGAGTTTAATCGGGGGCCGGGTGCAGCAAGGGCCGATTGATGGCCCGCAAAGCTCCGTCCTGTCAAGCACGTTGACGCGTCTCGTGGTCAAAAATAGAGGAATGATGATAGCTGTCGAGGTAACATGCGCAAGCGATTCCTTCCCTGATTGCTGGCTCGTCCATTCTCGGAAGGTAACGGACAAATTAGAGAGTCCCATTTTACGTGATCCGCACATTTCTTTTTTTTTTAGACGGGATTTATCCGACTGTTAAAGAGGACATGCCGCTTTTGAGATATCAGCTGTAAATCGCTGACAGGAGGTGGTAGGATTGATCGTGTCAGAGAGAGGATACCTTGCATAGGGAAACGAGTCGTCGGGGAAGGTCCGATAAATGGTCTGTTTATTCATATTGTATTCTGGTCCCTATTTCAAAGCTCGGGGTTCCCAAGCTCTGTGTTCTGAGTCACTCGGTTCGCTGCAGCGATGCCTTCGTCGATTTGGGGAGAGTGTAGTGGCCAGGGGGACTAGGTTTGTATAGATCGCTTGATGCTTCGATCAAGAGGTCTTAAGGGCCGTATAGAGGGAGCTAGGCTCTGCGGTGACGAAGTGACATAGTGAAGAGATGTCAGTGGATCTGTGGAGCACTTAGCGTTTAGTAGAGATAAGCCTGTGTTGGGAATCTTTGAATGAGGTGCGCCACACTGCTCACACCCCCGGCCCACGCCCACCCCCCCCGCGTCGTGACTTAACAGTCTCTGGGTGAATCATGGTCACCAACAATCCTCTCATACAAGACATCTATTAATTGTTCATATTTGTTGATTTCGTTTGTTTAATAAACTTTTCTTCGTACTGCTTGTCTCACACGCACAGTTATAAGGGTTACTCCGCCGTCGTATCCTACGAATACACTATCTTACCGTACACATCTCCATTTCCACCATAAATCCAACCTAATCTTATGAAAACCCTCTCCTTGAAGAGGTTTGCTTGAGGAGCCCAGTTTCACGAGACCAGTTACCGTTCGCATCCTATACATAGTGCCTATCCTCAATTTCGATGTTGAGCACGGCGCTCAACGCGGAAATTGCGGATAGGCCTACCCTATGTATCGGATGTAAACTACAAATGAACGGCGAAAGTTAATATAGACATTTACAGACATTTGCAATATAAAATAATATATAATTAGACATCTGCAAAAAGTTGATTATGAAGAAAGTTATGAATGTTTGAATGTCAAAAACTCGCGTGTGCACAGAAAACGGAACAACGGGACGATTTTTTGAAATATTGAACATCCACAACATTTCAAATTGGTGTCCGATTCCATGAAACCGCTTCTGAAAGAAAATATAACCTTCTGAATGGAGGGGTTTGGATTGCAATGTAATTGCTACAAGGTTTAGTTTTTCAGATTATAAGGTAAGGAAAGTTGAGAGATCGAAAAAATCCTGGTGGGTTTCTGAAAGTAGAAATCTTTACGATTAAAATGATGTATTGGTTTACGCAAAAATTTGGAAATTCCTTCTATTTAATGAATAAAACTTCATTTGCCTCGATTTCCTCCGAGCGCGCGCGATTGACCACGGTCCACCACTTCTCCATGTTGGTGACTGCCATCATTGATGAGCATTGATGAGCATTAAATTATGTGAAAGACATGATAGTTAATATGGGGGGGGGTCGTACCGATACCCCCGAAAAGGAAGGGGGTCGTAAAAATTTGGGAATTTGCGCAACGCAGGGTTGACCCTGCTGGGAAGGTTTGATTAGTTAACAGAAGGGTGTAGAAAATATGTGTGTAAAATGTGTGTAAAATACGGGCATTATTCGAAAAGCATGCATGTGTAAGTCCCAATTTATGGTGAAGAAGACAAAACTGTGGAAGTCTAGCACTCCTAGCAAGACAGCTTTGAATGCCGCACAGCTGAGGTGTTCTACAGCAATCCGCTCTGAGAAGTAATGAGCACGTTAGCCAAGAGGTGGGAGTTGTCATCCCCCTTGCGCGCACTCGCCAAGCCATTGCGTTCACTGCATTTACGGTCATGTTTCTAATTTGATTGGGGGTGGAAGTAGGAATTTAACTAAGATATATGCATTCTCCTGTTCTAACGAGGAATGAACCGGATTCTCATTGGTATCTGATCTTTCCAGCTAGTTGTATCCTTCAGATCTCTTACCCTCTCATTCTCTCAATTGATAACCATCTTTGTTCATTTTTGTCCCCCCCCCCCTTTTCTCCCAACACGCTGTCTCCCAGCATGAATTCGACCCAAGCCAACATTCATAAGTCCCACATGCGATTAGACGAATACAGAAAAAATACATACTAACTACGCGAATAGGCGAGTTGACAATGAAGGCATGAACCAGTATCAAATTAGTGAGATAATTACGCTCAAATGTGAAAGTAGAGGTGGTAAGCAGGGTCAACCGTCACGTTCGAACATTTTCGGGATTTTTGCGACCCCCTAGCTCTCGAGGGGGTCCAGTTGCGACCCCCTGTTTTTGTTAATAAGAGTGCTAGACATGAATCCGTTGCGCCAGAAAGCGTCTGCGCGTCGTCGCGTCGGCCTTGGAGCGCGGCAGGTATCACCCGGGCGCTGGAAGAACGGGACGCGGCGAAGAAAAAATTTTAGAGGGGAATAACTTTCTTGGGACGTACTTTTTTGACTTGTTGAGGTAGATTTTGATGTGCCTGAGGTGCGCTTTCAGAAAACTACAAGGATTGCCTAACTCTCCGGAAAGTACTTCTGTTAGAAGTGGAAAACCCAAAATTCTAAGAAGGCGCACCTTCAACTTTGAAGGCCCATAAATCTTTCGTATGCGACATTTTGGAAAGCTGTAAAAAGTTTCAGAAACTTCAAATATTTCTCTAACAAAACAGTATAAAAAGTTTAGTGATTGTCCCCTTTTTCAAAAAATTGTCCCGTTCGAACATTTTTCGTGCAAAAGCGAGTTTTTGGGCTTTCAGCGACCATAACTCACTTCATTTTCATTTCTGTGATGCACTTTTTTCATGCGGTGGAAGTTCAGAATTTG